ACAGCGTCCACACAACTGGTGTCAACATGAGTCCGGGGTAAGAGGGATGGAGTCCCCAGGAAGCTACTGACCTGCGGAGGGCTCTTGGCCTTTTAGTAAATGCCCAAGACTGCTGTGCCGTGTGAGGGTGTGTGTTCCTGCGTTTTATAGCTTTTCTCTTGCCTGCCTTGTAGTCGGGCTTCGACCTGTCCCTCTTTCCTTCCGGAGAGTCCCCCAGGCTTTCTAATCTGCTGCCTCCAGTCTGCTGTAGGCTGGGAAATCAGACAACCAGTTATGTAACGCGGGCAGCCACTGGACCGTGGCTCTTACCCTGACCCGAGCGCCACACGTGCCCAGCACCTCAATGGCGCACAAGCCAACTTGTCCCTTCCATGCTGAAACTTTTTTTAAAAAAATATTCACTCCGCCTGGCTGGCGTGGCTCAGTGGTTGAGCGCTGTCCCTATGATCAAGGAGATCGCGGTTCGATTCCCGGTCCAGGCACGTGGCTGGGTTTCAGGCTCCATCTCCCCAGCAGGGGGCGAGCAGGAGGCAGCCGATCAATGTCTCTCATCATTGAGGTTTCTCTCTCTCTCCCTCTCTCTTCCTCTCTGAAATCAATAAAAAAATTTTAAAAAAACAAGACATTAAAATAAAGTGGGATTCAAAAATATACAGAGGGAGAAATTAGAAAACATTCAACCTACGTTACTTTCCCCATTTCTAAGAACGCCAGGTATTTATAAAAGGTAAGTATCGCAGCCACGGACTTTAACAGCTGGAGAGAAACCCTGGAATGTATGAAGTCCAATCACTTCACTCAGGGACAAGTTCAAATCAGCCCAGAGATGTCAAGAAACTCACCCAAGGCCACGCAGCTAGTAAGTGCCAGAATCGGACCTACACTGTGACACTCCGGTTTCCTTGTTTATCTCTCTGTGGTCAAGAACGCTGCCCCTGAACCAGAACTGATCGTTCACACACACGGCAGGCAGTGAGGGTTAGCAAGAAAAAACAAAAATGGGGGGGGGGAGAGTGCCGACAAAAGAAATGTAAGAAATAACCTCCCAATCACCATGCCACTGCCCGGTGACACTTTAATTTCCTCTCTATTTGCAAAGTGCTTGTCTTTCTTAATTTTCAGACTTCACACTTGACCTCTGAATCCATGTTTCTTTTCTAACGTAATCCTAGAGACTTTTGTTCCAAGGAGGGGGAACGGGAACGACTTCGGCTCTACACACTATTTCCGAGCCCCCTTAGAGGTATCGAGGAATTTTATAAAAGTCTCTTTTATGCCTAAAGGGAGCTAGAATGTCCTAATGTGAGCCGTTTCGAAGATTTATGTGGCCTGTCTCTGAAACGCCGGTGACACACACCTTTGGAGCCCACATTCGCTTGCTAACCTCAGCCTTGCCCACTTTGGAGCCTGTTAACCCTTCGCTGGGATTATATAAAGTCGGTAACCTCTTTAAGAACTTCAGTAAAAAAAAAAAAAAACTCAAAGAAAACCTCCTAAATAAATGTGTTGATTAAAAAATACATAAAATATACTTTGTTCTCTAGTCTTTAGATTTATAATTCACTAAGTGACAACCAGATAAAAATTACCTGGGGTGCCCTGGCCAGTGTGGCTCAGTTGGTCGGGAGTCGTCCCATGAACCGAGAGGTCGCTGGTTCGATTCCTGGTCAGGCACATGCCCTGGAGTTTTGGGGGCTCGATCCCCAGTAGGGGGCGCGCAGGAGGCAGCCGATCAATGTTTCTCTCTCTCTCCCTCTCCTTCCTTTCCTTTCTCTCTCAAATCAATAAAAACATATATATATTTTTTTTAATTACCTGGGGTAGGGAAGCTACTTTGAGCAGAGATCACCAGCTCCTACGCTATTTTCCTCAAAACCAACGGTTTTCTGGAACGACCCAGGCGCACGGCTCAGCTCAAGGACTTTTCCTGGCCGCCTCTTCTGTGTGGGGACAGCCCCGGCTGACGAAGCGCCACGACCCGCGCTCACGGGCTTGGACCGGCCGCGCTTTCTCCCAGCCAGGGCCTACACTTGGCCCGGGTCTGCAATCCATCACGGCGAGATGTGCTTTCCACTCCCCGCGCCCCCGCCTCTCCGTTCCTGGCTCGCTCTATCCGTCTTCGTTAAGTACCTAGGAACGATACTATCAGCGATTCCGTCTCAGCCCCACGATGGGCTCTGCCTAATTGACCTGGGCGCTTTCAAACCCCCCCCCTCTTTTTGTCTTTTTTTTTTTTCTGCAGAAATAAGACATGATGAGGAAAATGTTCTTGGACGTCGTTTCTGGCTCAGCCCCGCGCGCTTTGCTTTAAATCGTTAGTGAGATGCTTGACATTTTTCCACCGCCTTTATAAACATTATGTGCAAATCATTCAGAATCCTAATGGAAAGTCATTTCCCATTAATTCGGGCTGTAAAAATGCCGTGTTCTTTTGAAACGGTGCCCGAGAAACAAACAGTACGGGACCCCTTCACGCTTGCAAAATTCCACCCACAAATCGAGGAAGCCGGGGATGGAGTGTTTAGAGGTGGGGACTGGAGCTATCGACGAGGGCAGCTTATTCGGGAGAGGCGGCTGGGGAATGTAGGAGGGACAGGCCCGTGTCGAACAGCAGCCTCCCTAAAAGCCACTTTTTGCACGTCTGTGATCTCCGGCCGACCACTGTCATTCTAACCACTTCATCTTCCCCGGGGACCGAGCTACTGGCCAAGCAGGAGCAACCAAAGAACCGACAGGCACAGTCGAGATAAAGAAGCAAAGGACTCGGTGTCCTCTCAGGGAAAAAAAAAAAAAAGGCATCCTAAGAGTCCTGCCTGATCCAAGGGATAGGTAAACGATGAATATTTATGTAACGAAAACAGCGACTGTAAGTAAGTCAGAGGAGTCCATGGGAGAGAGGCGGACGGATGGGGAGCTGAAGCCACATCTCCCGTATCAGGAAATCAGTAAATACCCAAAACCGAAAAATCAGGAAATAGCAGGAAAAGCCTATTATTTACGACAGTGCAGGTAACTACCAAAGAAACAGCCAAAAGAGTCGAAAAGTGAGAGTAGGAAATAAAGGTTGGGAGAGGAGTAGAGAGACTGCTGTTCTCCATGAAAAAGACCTCATAGTGCCATTTTCTTTTTAAAACTATATATAAAGAAAATCCTGCACCGCTTCTATGGTCCGTGTGCGTTATGGGGAACGCTGAAGTCCATGAACTTCGACCTCAGTCTCCCACTTACACGGAAACCAGGTCAAAGCAGATCATGGACTGAAATGTAAAAAAGTGTAAAAGTTCTGGGGGGGGAAACATGGGAGGAAATCTTCAGAATCTAGGGCTAGGCAAAGAGCTCTTGGATTTCACATCAAAAGCATGACCTTAAAAGGAAAAAAAATTGATAAAATCGACTTTATCAAAATTTAAAAATTGTTATATCAAAAATGCTGTAAAGAGACTAAAGAGAACCTACAGAGTGAAAGGAAATAATTTTAAACCAAATACATGTCAAAGGATTCGTATTTAGAACATATACAGAACGCTAAAAAACTCAATACCAAATTGGGGGGAAACTTAACCTCCCCATATCATATGCAAAGAGTTCTTAGGAATCAATAAGACGAAAGTAAACTACCTAAAGGAAAAATGAATTAGATGGACAGACAATTCAGACATGAGAAAATACAAATGCAAACTAAGCTACAGAAAAAAAACAAAGATATAACCTCCCCGTTATCACAGAAAAGCAAATTAAGGTTGAATATCATTTCTTTTTTAACCCATGAATGAACGCTTGGCGAAAACAGAAGTCGAACGACATGGGCCTGGGGAAGCGGGTGTCCCTGCAACAGCAGCAGGCAGGGTGCCCGTCTGGTGGGGTAACGCGGTTATATCCACGGTCGCTTAAAACCTGCATTCGCTCTAACTCGGCGATTTCCTCTCCAAGAATGACCTGCCCATCAGCACATATAAAATAATTCTACAGATACGGGGCATTCCTTTTAGCAAAAGAAATAATGACGCGGCGCTGTCTCAAACGTTTGAAAAATATGTAAAATATTTTGAGAGTTAAAAATGGAAGTATTAAGGATTTTGCGGCCAAGGAGCAACACGTGCGAAGGCAGGAAGTCAGGTCGTGGAATTCTTCCTGCTGCCGGTTTTCAAAAGCTGATAAGTATCCGAAACCAGGAGGCAGGAAAGGAGACGTTACTGGGAGGGAAGGAGTCGCCCAACAACCAAAGAGGAAACTCGGGGTCGGGGTGTATCCGACGGCACAGGGGGGACGCGCGGGGAGCAAACCCGAGGGCAGGGCGCCCCGGGCCCCCAGAATGGCCATCTCACCTGCTGTCTTTGACGACGAGGTGGCGGCCACCCCGTTGAGCTCGCTAGAATTCCGTTTCGGGGGCAGCGGCTTGTATTCTCGCCTGGGCAGGCTGGAGGAGGCCGATATCCTGTAACACACGTCGGAAGGTGGGTCAGACGCCTGCTGAAGCGAAACCGAGCCTCCGGCCCAGGTCGCGCGGGCCCATGAACCAGGGGGGCACGGGCCCGGGGTTGCGGGCTCGGTCCCCCGTCGGGGGCGTGCAGGAGGCAGCCGATCAATGACTCTCTCTCCCTCTCTCTCCCCCTCTCCCTTCCTCTCTCTCTGAAAAGCAATGGGAAACATATCCTCAGGGGAGGATTTAAAGAAAAAAAAAAAAAGCTTCCCTTTTCCCAATTCTGTCCTTTTGGCCAAAGCCCCGTGTGTGTTATCTCAGTGTGTCCCACACCCAACCGTGGAACCAACCGGCTAAAGAAAATCCACAGCAGGGCGGGGCAACGGGAAGGGGGAGACGCGAGGAGAGGCAGAAAGACAGACGCTGGTTCCCGCCGGTCCTGCCTCGGTGCTCCTACCGGATGTGCAGCTTGCTCTGGAGCTCCTGCAGAATCTCCGCCGACTGCCGGTGGTAGTCTAAAGCCGCCTCGATGAACACGGCCAGCTGGCTGACTTGCTCTACCTGCAGGGAAGCGGAAAGCCACTCACTCCACAGAGGCCAGAGCCCCGATGGTCACTGGGAAGGGCTTAACTCCTGCGTGGCCGGCAGGGCGCTGTCACGGGCCCGAATGGACAGTTTTTACAAGGCAGGATCACTTCTGACTTTTGACCGACACTGAAGGGAAAACAGGTCTCTTGGGCGGAGCGACCGAGACCGGCCTCCCTGATGGAGCACGTGGGTCAGGCCCAGGCGAGTCTCACCCGGGATTCAACCTGAGGGGTTAAACCAAAGCCGACGGGCGCGGGACTGGCAGGAATGCGTGCATCTGATACGAAAGACACCAAACACACGCTTTTCCCAATATTTCTGAAAACCAATCTGAGACCAAAAAAAAAACCAAAAACAAAAAAACCCAAACTGCCTATCGCGTGGGGACAATGTCAAGAGGAAATTTATGTATTTAAGGGAAAACAAAGAAGCTAAACAGGGCAAACTGTCACACCCCTTCCCAGTCCCCATAAAACATAAAAATAAAAAAATAAACCTGATAAAATACTTAAAAGGAGAAACAAAACAGAGTGTGCTTCTGAGGACTCAGGTTTAATGGGCACGGGAGCTGCAAACCGTTCCCTGCAGCACTGACATCTTGGGGATGCTGGGCGTGATCCCTGCCCCCGTCGCATCATCGTGGCCATAAAAGGGGCTCCGTCTGCTCCATTCGACGCGACTCAAAAGGTACAAGACCTCAATGTACCTATTAACGAGCTATCGTAAGTAGATCATGGTTTTTGCAAATAAGGAAAAATCCTCTGATTTGTGCCCATGGGTTTAAAAGTTCCACAAATAGGTCCTGAGCGAGGGCTGAGTGGAGACGGCCTGTGGCACCACCTCGGCGGCCAGGCCAGAGCAGGAACTCCGGACAAAGGGAGGCAGGTGACCCAAGGCTCTTCTGCTCAGACACTGAAAAATGCCCAAGGGCTGGTCGCCAACGCAAAGAGGGGAACCTTCATCCTACCATCCCCCTTAATTCCACTTAATCTAACTTTTCTTGGGCAGATAAAGCTGGTGGCAAGAGTCACAGTACCACAGACTATCAGCATGTCTGAGGGATACGTCCCAAGACCTTCCCAGTCCACAGGCCCACGAGCACCACTACGGTTCAGCTCAAAGGTCTCGGTCACGCGTCTATGCCCGGAATGAACGTTCACTATGACAAGCGAAGGCGTCGGAGCGCTGGGTGCTGAGCGAGGCTCTCCCACCAGCCAGGAGAGATGCTCCCAACACCTGCCACCCAGAGCGGTTTTCGCCGTCTTAGCAAAACCGCACACTGCCACGTGACGTGGGCCCCCCGTTCTGCAGAACCAGCAATGCTCTGGCCTCGGACACAGAGAGGCCAGCGCCTGGGTCATCCTGAGACACCCCACCTCCCCGGGGCCGGCTCCGGCACAGCTGGGAAGCACTCCTGGGATACACGGGACGTCCCGAGATCCGAGATTTGAGCTGGGGACCTGCCGGATGCCGAGAGCTATCTCTGAGGCAGGAGAGGACGGTTCTGGAAGGTTTCCGGAAACTTTTATAACAACGAGGGCGCCACAGCCAGCCCACAAACATACAGTCACGAAAGCCTCCGGTTTGGTGGAAATACTCACGTCGTTTTCTAAAAAATTAAACATGCTTCTTTCGGCCAAGTCCTTTGACTCTTCAAACTTTTCTACCGCTTGTCTGATCTCTTCGTCGGGGATCTTACCTACTCGCTTCCTTTTATAATCGTAATCCAGGCGCCGGCCCTCCAGCTTTTTCAGGTGGTGCTGAGAGACAGAGGGACAGACCCCCGGGAACTGTTACTCTCAAAACACGGCACAGAGAGGCCTTCCTCACTTCTGTGAAAAGAGTCGTTATTTTTTCTCAGCCTAAATTTTAGGGGGCAGGAACCCATCTTTTTTTTTTTTTTTTTTTTTTGGTGGGCACCACAGCACCTACCAGAGGCTCCTTTCACTGCAAATTCTCAAGGAATATTTATGAAAGGAACAAGCGGATGGACGACAGAATAAATGAATGAATGGATGGATGACAGAATGAGTGTCGAGGTGGAACCAAGGACCCAGTATCAGCATTCATATTCCATGTTCCAAAGTTCTTTACAGGACCCCTCACTTTGGCTCTCTTAATGCCCGAACAATTTCCAACCAAATTAACTATGCCAGGGTTAGGGATATTTCTTCTGGCACTATTGTCAGCCCCTCACTAAGAAGTAGACGACAGCCCAGCCCAGTGTGGCTCAGTTGGTTGAGCATCGCCCGTGCACCAGGAGGTCACGGGTTCGATTTCTGAGACCTCTTGGACCCCGAGGCAACGTCGGTTTAAGTAGCAACGGGTGGGTTTACAGCCGAGAAAACTTACCCCGATCTCTTTTAGATCTTTGTCTTGTAGCAACTGAAGTGGGTCGATAAACGTCTGCTTTACATTAATATCAAGGGAGTCCTTCACCTCCGCCATCAGCTTCATGGACTCGCCAACTTCTATCAGTGCGTTGCCTGGGACAGAAAATACAAATAAAAAGGGACCGTGAGCAGAGCCCTCCGAGGTCGTCAGCGGTATTTCTTTCCCCAAGTTCGTGGGCGATGGCTTAACAAGGTCTTCGCTCTGGGACTGACTCAGGAAAAAATGAAAATAAAAACTTTCTACATTTCTTCTCTCTACAAACTCACCCGGAGGCTGACAAGCCGAGACACTTACCACTGTGGCCACTAGATGGAGATAAAGCTCCATTTTTTAGAAACATGCTTTTTTTTTTTTTTTTTTTTTGCAAACTGGCACCGAGGGTTTCTTAGAAGACGCAGAACAAAGTCCCTCTTTGTAAACAATAAAAGGATTGAGTCATCATTGGGGGGTTAAGCATCAACCCAATAAAGATGACAATAGAAATGAATGAACAAGCTCTCATCTCAGCCTGGCCGGTGTGGCTCAATGGTTGAGGGTGGACCTATGAACCCGGGGGGGTCACAGTTCCTTCGATTCCGGGTCAGGGCACATGCCCGGGTTGTGGGCTCGATCCCCAGTAGGGGCCGTGCAGGAGGCAGCTGATCGATGACTCCCTCTCATCATTGATATTTCTCTCTCTCTCTCCCTCTCTCTGAAATCAATAAAAAAAAACAACAAAAACAACTCCAACACATTTACCAAAAAAAGATAAAGTAAAGGCTTCATGTATAACCTACAAGCAACAGGGGATGGGTCCTCGCCCTCCGGGGCGAGCTGTGCCACTCACCGAAGGTGGAGCCTTCCCCGAGCTCCCTGCCGTACTTGAGCATGCAGTCGCCCAGCAGGCCTTCCGTCTGCGGGTACCCGGTGGTCTTCACCTGCCCTCGGATCTTCGACACAGTGTTCAGCATTCCTAGCTTAGCTCTGTATGCTTAAAGACATTGTCATTTGTAATCCCATAAAGTGATGGGGGGGCGGGGGTGACAGGCACAGGCCATATAACAAACACGGCCGCCAAGATCGAGGTCGCCATAGACAAAACGTCAGAGACCTGAGGCACGAGAGGGCCCTGGGTGACCTATTTAGTCTCTCACGTGATTTTTCAAGATGCTTTACCGAGGTGGGTGCTGAGCTCTTGGCTGCACGGTCAGGCAACCAATGGATGTTTCTCTCTCTAATATCAATTAAAAATTTTAAAAAAAGAATGCTGCTTCACAACCTAGGAATGGAAAACCTCCCGTGGAAAAGGTGATGTCAACACCGGACCTCATGCTGTTTTTCATATCATCACGCCTCATTTCTCCCTCATTTGAGCCACACACACTGAAAGCCATTTCAAATTAATACACTGCGTTAGAACAGGAGGCCTTAATTTTTATTTTTTTTCTAAAAGGAGGAAATGACTTAAAAAAGCAGCAAACGTTTACAAAATGTTTGGTGGGTTTCTGCAGCATCTTATAAAAAAAAGTCTTTGCTTAGCAGTGCCTGGCTGCTGGACCCGGACCCCGTCCAAATGGCGTCACCGTGGTTCCAAGGACTAACCGCTCTGTGTCTCCTCAGCGAGGAGTCACGGCAACGACTGACTCTCTGGAGACACGATGTTAAAAAAAACCCAAAAACACGAATTTCATTATTGGACAACCGAGGGCATTGTTTCTAGATCACGTCAAACGAGGGCCCAACAAAGGCGGGTGATCGGCGTCTGTCACCGCAAATACATCAAGATGTTTTCTCACTGTACCTGGATTGGGCTGGAGATATTCTGTGGCTTTGGAAAGAATTTCTGCAACAGCTTTACTGGTGATATCTATTTTCTAAAAAAAAAAAAAAAAAAGCACATAAACCATTGGTACATGGCAAACACTGAATTTTCAGAAAATTAATTTTTATCCAAGACAAAGGGAAGGAAACTGAGGACACCGGCAGTCCCTGGTGGCCACAGGGATGCTCCACACAGATGACCAGGGAACATGATGCTGTTCAACCATTTCTGTTAAGAGTCCCATTATGTCCGGTGTGGGTCCCTGGTTGAGCCTCGACCTATGAACCAGGAGGTCACGGTTCGATTCCCGGTCAGGGCACAGGCCCGGGTTGCGGGCTCCTCGATCCCCAGCAGGGGGCGAGCAGGAGGCAGCCGATCGATGACTCATCATTGACTTTCTCTCTCTCCCTCTCCCTTCTCCAAGACACATAACCACGATGACTCTGGCCTTTTGAATTGTTTGCCAAGACTGACCACCTTTGGGGCATTCTGAGTTTTGGGGATTCTGAGTTTTGGGGATTCTAAGTTTTGGGGATTCTGAGTTTTGGGCATTCTGAGTTTTTGTCCACTAGAGGGAACCCACGAGCCGTATCCCGTCTCCTTCATAATCAAGGGTAGTTATTGGGGCTTACACAAGTCGAACTCGTAATACAATCGACATTAAAACGCTCCCTTACCCTTTCCATGTCAAGAAATTCGTCATCTAGTTTCGTTCCTTCGATGCCGCTTATTTTTTCACTAATTAGCTGCGGAGATAAACACAAATATTTGCGATGTACGAGGATCTGCATTCAGTTCCTGACCCAAACGACCATGCTCGACGGGTATTTATCATGCTCCTACTATATGTAAAAGCACATGGGCTCTGGTAGAAACAGAGATAAGTAAGACAGGACCCTCATCGTCCGGGAACCCAGAGTTCAGCCAAGAGTCACCATACAGACACGCAGCTAAAACGCGAGGAACAGTGAAAACAACGGAAAAGACTAGTCCTGGACACAAATTATTGTAAACAGACTTAGTGATGGGCATTTCGGGGATTCCCAGGGAGGCCTCTGAGAGCTTGTAAGGTGGGTGGGGGCTGGGGGTGGGGACAATCCAGGCCTGTTTCCTAAAAGGCTTGGCACCCGAGCTCGCTTGTTAAAGGACAGTTCAATGGGCAGCATGGATGGAAAGGCCTTCCAGCAGGAGGCAGGATTTAAAAAGACTGCGTAAGACAGAGTTTGGGTATTTAGACCATAAAACTCTCTGTGGCAGGAGCTGTCCTGAGCACCGCAGGGTGTTTAGCAGCCTCCCTGGCCTCTACCCGCTAGATGCTGGGGGCACGCACGCCCCCTTGTGACCACCAAAAACGTCTCCAGGCCCTGGCCGGGTGGCCCAGTGGGTTAGGGCGTCGTTCCGATGCTCCAAGGCTGCGAGACAGAGGCGGAGTCCAGGTGTGCCCGGCAGAGAGCGGCGGGCCCACGGAAACACCGAGCGTACAGCTATCTTCAGAGTTTCCCGAGAGGGACGGCGGGGAGACAGAAAGAAACAGGTAGGTGATAGTCTAACCGCTGGGCTGCACGCCCGACGCTAACACAGAGTAACTCTGCATGTTGGCCGCAGTTGAAAAATAAATACATAGGTATTTTCTTGGGAGTTAAGGTGAGGGAGCCTCGGTGCTGGCTGGCATGGCTGGGGTCCACCCCCGTGCTCGCCCCCCTTCCACCCAGTGACCTCAGAGAAAAACAGCAGGTCTGGGGCAGGTCCCTCCCTTCAGCCTCTTCTCCAAAAAGTCTCCCCCTCCTCCCCTGGGCGCCCCATCCTGCCCTTCCAAACTCGGCTTGAAGTTACCATCCTGTCACTTCTAGCTGAAGGCCAAAGGACTAAAGTGAAGAGCGACCTCACAGATATTGCAGCAAATGAATAGTCACAAATAAAATGTGCGGCTGGCCCGTTTTGAGATGCTGATCAGAGAAGGGATAGAAATGAATGTTACCCTCTCTTTCCGCTCAGCCCTTCAGAAAAATCACCTGTAAACCTGGTTTTCGCCATTCAAGACCCACTTTAAATGCACTTTAGAAGCTTGCTTACATAAAGGTATCGTCCACGAATCCTTTGGAAATGGGTGGTCGTGATGCAAAAACTCACCCTCATATCTATCTACTGGTCACAAAAGTGACATCTGTTATTACTTTAAGTTGATTATAGAATATAATTATTTCCTAATTGTATTATAAAATAGTCACTGTTATAAAATAAATACAAAACTTGATCATTAATAATAACTATTACAAAGTGTTTCCAAGTTTCCGTTTTCCTAGAAAAGAATTTCTACTTTATAAAAAAAAAAAAAAAAGGTCCCTTAGATACTAACATGATAGGACAAACACAATCTCTGAAATCAAGTAACTTCAGGTTTGCTAGAAACTCACTCCCCACCCCCTTATTTGTCCTTATATTTTCTCATTTTGCTAAGGACCAGTGAGCACCTCAGAGTTCACACGAGCAGCTGGAGAGCTGGTGTGACCGGGCGCCAGGCACTCCCGCCAGCACTGTTTTTGCGGCAGGTGGCTCTCCAGAGCAGGCACCTTCTACACGGGGTGCCAGCGCCTACAGCATCCCTTACTCGACCTGCACTTCCGACTGGCAGGTTTTCTCCGGAGAAGCCTGAATGCCACACCCCTGCCTGGAGGTAGACATGCGTTAAGTAGCCCTTCCTGGAGCCACAGGAAAGATGAACTGATTGCCTCCCACTTTTCACCGTGGCTGCCAGGAAGCTCAACATCAATAGCGTGGATCAACACATAGGCCTTTTTACATGTATGTTTACATTTAAACACACTCACACAGACCCCCCCCCAAGCCTCGACTTTCCCGGATCATGATTCATTCTTATTAATGGAGGATTACTGCATCAGCAAAGCTAAACTTCC